GAACATCCCTTTAATTTTATTTTATATCTTATTTTAGTCAGTATAATATTAGCTTTAATCTTTTACTCATGTGGAAGTTTCTTGTTTTATCGTTTCTAGAACGTACTAGTTATCGGCTTCTCTCTTTCATCTGACATTCGCCTCGCATTTTCGCAACAATATTATATTACCATGATCTAATATTTGTAAAGGATTACTATTTTCTTGTATCACATAACATTGAGCTTTTTGGTGCAATAATAATGGAATTATACATTTATATTTTAAATCTACCTTACAAATATTAGTTCCTATATAATTTTTGCAATCTGATAGATTTGTGAAATTATTATTACATTTAGCAACTTTATTTTTTAGCTCATATTTTCCGTGTTTAAATGCTAATGGAATTAAATTATACATTTCACATTTATTGGTTATTATTGGATATTTATAAATTGTTACAACAACATGGATATTGGAGTATTCTAAAATATTTATTTTTGGAATGTTATATGATTATGTTTTAATGATTTCTATAATTTCATTAAAATTAAGAGTTCCTTAAAAAAAATTACCTGTTTTCGCAAAATTCATAGTGTTTGTTATTAATTCTAATTCTTTATATACTTCCCTAGTAATTAATGTTTCTGTTACGGATTCAAGATGGAGTTTCTAAGAGCTTTTCAAACTGATTTGTCTTTGTAGATTATTATTTTCTATTAACTGATTAAGACCTGATTTTTTTCTATTAAGTCGTCATGGTCTGGCGTACGTGTACCTGTTACAAATTTCAAAAGTGAGCCTAAAAAAATAAGGGCATGTTTGCTACGGTCCTCGGATGGAATCAGTTGCGTTTTCAGTGTTTCTATTTCATTAATGAGAATACTTTCTTCCTGGGATTGGATCTTGTTCTCATTATATTTTCATAAGGCGCTAATATTGTCGAAAGGTTTGCTATATGATACAGGTAGGCTGGGTTAGTACATGTCTATACGATGTCCGTTTCAATTAAAATATATCTTCTACCTGAAAGACTTGTTATCCTTTCAGCAAATGAAAATGAAAACAATAATAGCCTATTTCCACCGGACGTTAAATGCATTTTAGCTTAAATGTATTTAAACATCGCAATTAAATGCGGTAACTCCCATGTGTTTGTTGTTGTATAAAAATGTGTTAACTCACTTTTCAAAGTGAGCTAACTCACTTTCGGCAATTTAACAGAAAACGTTAGGTAAACATTCGATGCTGTCACTAGTAATGTAATCATTTCGGAAGTTTCGGTGTACTTCTTGCCAGAGTCGTGTATTTTCGGATTTAATGAGGGGCGAGATTTTTATTTTGCATGGTGAAATTTTTTGTATAAAAATTCCTTTTTTTGCATTAGTTTTAACATAAATGCCTATATTAAATAATTGGCGAAGAGAATGCTTCTCCACCTTCAAAAAAAAAAAAAATACTATAAGAAACAAACAAAAAACAATTGTGAAATATCAAACGATCCCCTCAACATAAAAATATACGTGGCTCTGGTAGCTTAAATAAATAATTTGAGGGAACAAACAAACAAATATGATAATGGAAACATGTATAAAAGCATTTTCGTTTCAGCAACGTTTGTCCGTGCAGAAATAACTGCACTTGCAAGTCTTAAGATTGCAGAAGTAGCCAAATAAAATTAATGCGGTCTCTTGAATTCATGATATCTACCAGGCACGGTTTTATTTTCAGCAGCTTAACTTTGGTAAATTTTTATAATTGTACTATGTAACCGTTCTACTTAAGCGTTCGAAGCTGAATGGTGTCTAGAAGTAACTGAATGTATTATTTGTAATCTCTTGTATAAAGATTTTACTATGTTTCCATTAGTATATTCATTATCGGTCATGAGATATGTATGAGACAAATGAGTATAAATGGTTACAACGTTTGAAATTTGGCAGCACTGCTTTTTTCGTCCGTGTCGAATTACATATTCCATTTGATAAAGCAAAAAAGACGAATATTCACATTGAAATGGAAAGCGGTGCACAACAAAATAAATAAGTTTTATTTATTTGTTTATCAAATCAAAAATGTTGAAGCTTTATTTTGGAAAATATGCCTAAACGACAAAAAGAAAGCTTAACAACTTACGACTTCTATCTTTAAAGCTATGTGAAATGTAAGGTCTACGTCATGAGGCCAATGTCGATCAAAGATTCAAAGATGGAGTTCGGGAAGCTATTGAGGTGATAGCAAATCTCATAGAAAGGATAAGATCCTTTAAGTGAAGTTGAAACTATTCCCATTATTAACAGAACCTCTTCTTCTTTACATTTATATAAACATCCTACCATTTATCTGAAATAACGAAATTAAGCTTTAGGAAACACTCTTTAATTATGATAGTTGCTATTATAAAATAAAATCTTGGCTGCATGTAGACGAGGCCTTGGAGCCTCCACAGCAACAACAAACCCAAAATACCCGTAAGTTACATACAAACATATATATATTTATATATATATTGTTGCAAAAATGCGATGAAAGAGAGAAGCCGATAACTAGCACATTCTATTTAGAAACGAACCGAGAACCTTTGATAGCGAACAAATCGAGTATTCTACACTTTCGTCAACGAGCAGCCGACTGCTATATAAGGGCGACAACCAGCTGGTAAGAAGTCAGTTACAAAATGAACTCGTTGGCGATAACATCAGTCTAAAATCGTAAAGTAAAGTAAGTTGTGAAAGTTTTGTTCAATTGATTGTAACTAGTAAAGTGCATTGTAATTGAATTGTGAACTACTGAGTAAATAAAGGACATTAGATAAATTCTTTATAACGAAAGAAACTGCAAATTAAGTTGGCGGTTTTTTTATTTAACAAACCAGAGATCGTACCCGAAGGATTTAGAAAATCATCGAGGCTTATTTAGCAAAATCGTAACAATTGGTGTCAGAAGTGGGATTGTTAAATAAATCCCAAAGGATAATATTTTGAAAATGGTAAAGATTCAGGATTTGACGATTGGCAAGGCGAGGATTGTCGTCAACTGGAAATAAGGCAGATACAGCTCGAGACTACGAAAAGCAATGGTAGTTGAAGGCATCGACTTGGACCAGTACGATTTCCATCGCTAGGATGAAGATGTATCCTTGAAGGACATTGACAAGGAAGAGGCTGATGATTCTGTGAAGGAGTTTGAATCACCATTAAGTAATATTCATGAAAAGGCTCCTGGTTCATCTAAGTGTATTGACATGAACATGTTATTGACTGCATTCTCGAGCATCACACAAAAGTTCGATGCACAGGACGCAAAAATGAACATCAGCATCGCGCAAAATGTGTCTGAAATGAGAGCCAGCATCGCACAGAATATGTCTGAAATGAGAGCCAGCATCTCACAAAAGATGGATGCACAGAATGCCAACATTGCATCACAAATGGCGCAAATACAGCAAGATCTGGAACAATGCGGAACTTAAGGAAAGGCAAAATCTAATTGAGACCGTAGTCAACGCATTGAAAAGTCGTTTCTGGCAATTGCAGCTTAGTCGTCCAACCGCTTCAGTGAACGCTCCGAAGGTAAAAACACCATCTTTTGACGGGAAAATCCAATTTCAAGTCTTTAAGCTCGAATTTGAGAAGACAGATGAGACAACCAACTGGAGCATAGAGGGAACATCTGCTGCACTATTCGTTGNGGCAAACACCTGCGAGGATACTGTTTGGTAGTGAACTACGGTTGCCCAGCGATTTAAAATTTGGAATAACTGGCGATGCGAGAAGAATTGGGAAGGTAACGTCTACCGATCTCGAGGAAGAGCTAAGAGAGGTACATGCTCTTGTGAGACAGCGAACTCATATTATGAGTGACAAAATGAAGGCCAGGTATGACAAAGCGATGAACTACGAGAGTTTCCAAAATGGAGATTTGGTGTTGCTGTACAATCCACAACGGAAGAGGGGTTTGTCCCCAAAACTTCAATGTAATTGGGAAAGTCCATATAAGGTAATCAAACGGCTAAACGACGTAGTGTATCGAATCCAAACCGTTGGGAGTCCAAGAAACAAGATGAAAGTGGTCCACCTTGAGATGCTTGCTGAGTTTGGAACAGTGAATGTGTCTGATCGGGACGATCAGACTTAGGTGGAGAGCAGTGTTGCGAAAATACGAGGCGAATTTCAGATGAAAGAGAGAAGCCGATAACTAGTACATTCTAAACGAAAACCTTCGATAGCGAACAAATCGAGTATTCTACACTTTCGTCTACGAGCAGCCGACTGCTATATAAGGGCGACACTCAGCTGCCAAGAAGTGAGTTATAAAGGGAACTCGTTGGCGTTAATATCAGTAAAGTCGTAAAGTCAACGCGTTATGATTACATTTAAGTAGAGTGAATTGTGAAAGTTTATGCAAGTGATTGTAGCTAGTAAAGTGCATTGTAATTGAATTGTGAAGTACGGAGTAAATAAAGGACGTTAGATAAATTCTTTATAACGAAAGAAACTGCAAATTAAGTTGGCGAGTTTTTTTAACAATCCAGAGATCGTACCCGAAGGATTCAGAAAATCATCGAGGTTGATTTAGCAAAATCGTACCAACATATATATTATATATAGAAAATTATGAACAAATAGATTGAAGTACATGTAATTATATACATACTTATACAATTAATTAAATATACACATATATATATAATACTATACATATATACGTACGAATATGAATTTTAAATAAGCGATAGGCCTACCAACAAACGCAACGCATAACTGCATGCCTGTAAACAGAGTTAAGTATAAAAGGAGCACCATCAGCATAAGACACTTCTGTTTGTCGTAGCTAGAGTATATGATGTGTCGTGTATACGCTACCAATAGGAGTCGATAGAAGTGTAAGTACGACAAAAATTAAGGTATATGGTGTGACGTGAAAACGCTACCAATACGAAACGGTAAATTTATATGGAGCGGCGTGAAAACGCCAGTTGGAAATTTAAGTAATAAAGATAACTGTGTAGAAGAAAAACCACTCGTATTGTTCTTTACCTTTCTCTTTCAGAGACAGCATTTTAGGGGAATCATAATCCGGCTGAGCTATAGGCCGGAGAGCCGGGCTCGTTACAACAGTGAGTTGTTATTTTAGCTAGCTCTGGTACACTGAGCATATTCCAGCCGAAAAACTTCGTTACAAACTTTTCGCTCGCATGATCAAACCTAGTTCGTAATGTTTGTCTAATTCTCTTCGTGCCTCTGCTCACTTCTGACTAATTTAGCTTCTCCTGACTTAAATTGTCTATAAAATCACTCGACTGGATAGCTGTAGGTGATAGTGCGCGGTGTACAAAGTTGGACGCTATTGTCAACACATCCCCTCGGACCAAGAAATTTCAGTATTAAAAAACGTTATCCTTTATATGTTTACATACGTTTATTGTCGTGGCAGTATAGGAATTAGGAGCATATATTTGGAATAGTAATCAAGGTCTACACAAATCTTAACAAATCATTTCCCAAGGCTTGACTGCATTGGTCCTCTCATTCATTCAGCGGACTGTGAGTTTTGAGGCTTAACCTGCTAACAAGTCTTGCCATTATTGGTCAAAAAGCTTCTTTGAAATACACACCCACCTTTAACTGTCTATGCTGCCGTTTCTTCACTAACGGAACCATCTCTGCCAACAAATATTACACTCACGTTTTAATATATAAAAAGAAGCCACTTCAGTAGATACATTTCTTTTACATTCATTTAAAACATTATAATTCCCACAAAATTTGTATGTACCGTCTTTCTTTTAATTCTTGTTTTCTGAAGATACCAAGAGACCAAGAGAGATGTTATTGCTTATGTGTGCAACCCTGCTAAGCACCAAACAAATCATAAACGGACGTCGCTTCTGTATTGGAACATAAGATGATAAAACATTTTAGGAATGAGTCCTGTTATCTATTCCGTTTTCTTTTTTACCTTTTGTGGAATCTTTAAAAGCCCATGTTGTCAAACGAACGGTCTTCTTTTGGATAACAGCCTTCACATCAGCGATATCCAGGTGTGTGTATACCAATTTTTTTCTTTTGCAATTGCCATTTCATTTCATATTTAAAACAATAAAAAGGTGCTTAATATTTGATTAATAAAAAAACGTTTATTTATTAAGAAGAATAGTAAGTTTTACTTTTTTTACAGATTGGAGTTCTGGTGAGAATCGGTCGCCATTTGATTTCCGTTTTCGGAAGTGAGGAGTTCCGGTCCCACGAATATCCAGCATTTTCATTGGTCCCTTGAGTGGGATCGTCCCCAAGAAAAAGTTGTTATGAATATAATTCCTTTTACTTTTATTTATTATATTTATAATTAAAAACAAACGAATAATATTAATAAAAAAAAGCCAAAATAAAAACTAGCAGGAGGATTGAGGATAACCATTTTTCAGTCCACAAAAGTTTCACGGTTACAGCTGTCATAACGGCTATTTCCATAAGAGAATTTGTGCTTAAGGTAAGAGGAAAAACCCAGGAGTGGAAGCCGTAAATTTATGCAACATCACCAACCATTGAGACCTATTCACAAATTAGTACATAGACAAATGACACGAAAAAAAGCAATAAGCGCCAGCTAAAAAGTGAAAAACGTACGCGGGTGCTACGCGTTAGTGGAGCGCAGGCATATTTACTGTCCAAAGCCAGCGGAAATCTAAAAAGAAAAAACTCAGGGCATTATGAATGAAAGTTAATGAAATATTTGATGGATACTCACAGAAGTCATCTGCAGCATACCCAACGTGCACGATATTGATATTTATGCAGAAAAGTTCGTCCACGGTTATTGGTGTAGTTCGAGAATATGAATTGACTCCACGTCCGAGTATTAATCTTAATTAATTAACTACCGACATTGGCATGGTCATCTTTTCGGGACTTATTCACCGCAATATATATATCAAAAATTCCCTTATGACCAAGGTTAAAAAACGATATTACCACAATCAGAAGTCTCTAGGAGAGGCCGAAGCCTATTTGACCGTTTTGAAAATAAAATAGTGATGGTAAATAGTTAGTCAAAGACGTTGTTTAACCTATCTACCGTGAGAGCCGAGCGTAGTGTGGAAATATAAAATCAGCAGCCTGAAGTAAATAACTGCATCTCAGCTCTCAAAATGTATGTTATTGAGATTAGATATTGGGATGCTATTTTTGTGCACCTTCAGCATAATGAATAATCGACCACCGACCCGACTAGAAGAAGCTGTAAAGGAGGCGAACCACTGTCACCTCCACTTCTTATTATTACAATATGTATGTGCGCAAGTACATACGTACATACGTATGTACACCTACAGTGGCTGTTGGTCAAGCGCCTACCAACAACCACACATGTCATAACAAACTACCGCACAAAAAGGAGATGACAAAAACCAACAAAGCGACCGGCCAGCTTAGTGAAGACGGCGTGGGTCAGCAGCTAAGTACACAAACAAAATCAAACGGGGAGAAAAACAACACCAAGTTAATTTACTAACGCCGACTTAAACAAAAATCCCAAGACAACAACTTAACAACAAAGTCGAACTACTTAAGACAATAAAACAAAATATGTTTTTGGGTGCACCTGAGGTGTGGTCCAACCGAACTGCTTACGAACCCACTCGCACTACTCCTGTGCTGCCGGGGGTAACTTTAATCCGCCTGTATGACTGGGCTCTGGTTGCAAGATGCTAGAAGGATGGGTAAGGACGTAACGAGGGTAGTGCCACTGTCGGCCCGACAAAGCGCAAGCAAATAAATACACGAAATGATACTTAGCGGTTACTCGGTCGGGTGTGCGTTCCGACTTCGGTGCTCCTCCGGATGATGCCGCCAAACTCTGGTTACGACAAAACCTATTCTGCACTGCTACACTATAATATTGGTTTAATTATTTTTTCCTATTTTGTAAGTCACACAAAACAACTCGCACGCCTGCGTAAATAAAGATGTTCGCACTTTCGTAGATTGCTGGAATCTGATCCGGCACGCGAGCCAGGCCGCAAGCTACGCGTCGGGACCGGGTTGTATAGCGCAAGCCACCATGGCACACCAAGTACACTAGGATAATTTTTCCCCTCGCCGCATTAAAGAAAAAGGCGACACCCCTTTTTACGGACTTCCCGCGCAAAAACGGAATGCTTTGCTCTAATATTTGTTAGTGGAGGGACCGTTTTGGGGAACACCTCCTTTTGGAGACTTATACCACTGGGTAGGCACACACCGAAAGCAACCGTGCCATCAATCCATGGCTTCAAATAATGCAACTATTCGCCGACAGATGTCACTGCCAACGCTTGGAGTGAAAGGAAGCTTAGACAAAACAAAGGTAATGAGCATACAAACACAAAAGAAGTTTTTGTTGCGGCCAGTACGCGGTGGTGTCTTATAAAACTTGCCTCCAAACTTTCAAAACCTCTATAAGGATGGCAAAATGCGAATCTTGGAAGGCCTTCTACAATGACATTGACTGAAATTCCATCCAGAAAACGAACGGTGAATGGACAACAGCTGAGGACATTCTATCCCCATTTCCATGACAAACCTACAAGGCCTGTCTGAGTGAAGGATAGATCCCACAAACATGGACCAGGGCCAAAGTAAATACGTCAATCCAGAAGACTTTCTACCAGTTAGTTTCACCTCCTATGAAAGGCTGCTAAACATCTGCGTTCGCCTGAATCTCCTTTACACAGCCTCTCGAGGATGCAATATGCATACTCTAAGGGGAACTCTGTAGAAACAAGATGTATTTGGATGCATCGAAAAAGATTTGCCTTGAGGGGTATACGTTTTGTATCTTCTTCGAAATTGAGGAGGCTTTCAACACCATTATTCCTACATTCCGGCAGCGTCACCAGACATACAACAAGAGGCACACTTCAGGAGGAGCTTTATTGCCACTGCTGTTGTGTATAAAAGCGAATACACTGATCAGGAAACTGTACAGCTCGGGGTGGTGGATGGTGGCGTGCGCTAAGGACGGACAGCGACAGGCAACACACATACAAACATTAAACGATCTACTCCAAAATACTCTATTTATAGTTGGGAGCTGGTGCAAAGATAGATCTTTACAATGTAACGGTACCACGTCAAAAGTAGTCATAAAAAGCAGAACCAATACCAACAAACTCTTAATTTAACCTGGACAAAGTGACTTCCCATGCAATGAACTGGCAAGAGAAAGAGCTCTTCTACCCACAATAAAACATGCACATAATGCTGGTGGATCTCTGTTCACGACAATATACGTGCTTACGCTGACCTTTGCCGGGGAAGTAAACACAAGATGGCTGAGCGAGATCACTCGCAACGACAGCTTTGGCCGATGTTGGACACGAAATAATCAAAATATCGAATCTTTCTAGACCGGTTCTTCATTGACGTAATGCCCGGCATAATGGCTGCAGTCTTAACTCTTCCCGTTAACAGACTCTTAATGTGAAAAGAATGGGCTATATTACTCTAACGTTTTTTGTCGCAGCTAAAGGGACGAAGAGGAGGACATCTATGCGACACAAATTCCTCGGAAAGTTATTCTGAGCTAGCATCAGCGAAAATTTGAAATCTAGTTGCGAAATGGTTCGATTATTTGAGAAGGTGAACACTTCGGTATTGACCAGCAGCCACATCAACTCGACTTAACTCCTCACCGAGTACAGCGTGGTAATTACACTCAGATGTACGAAACCAGTTTGCATCAACTTCGGAAGAAGCAATTTAGGATTAACATATTACTTGTCACTTCATGCCACAAATTTGCGCGACTTAAATGAATGGGACCTTTTTTGATAAAAAAATAGACAACGTTTTTAATTGATTTTGATTCGATTTTGATTTGATTTTGATTTTGATTTTGATTTTGATTTTGATTTCGATTTGGGTTTGGATATGGAATTGGATTTTGATTTTGATTTTGAATTTGATTTTGATTTTGATTTTGATTTTGATTTTGATTTTGATTTTGATTTTGATTTTGATTTTGATTTTGATTTTGATTTTGATTTTGATT